TGATGATCAGGCTACCGGTATGAGGAGAATATTGAGTTCATAAAAGGAACAGCTTTTCAGCCGGCTGAATGATCCTGAAAATGAGACATCCGCTTACGATGAACCGGAATTCAGAAACGACGATGTTGAAGTTCGAATAGCGATTTCTCACTTGCAAAAAAAAAAAACAATGTCACTGAAGTCGATGGCTTACCGATATCGAGATCTCAAAGATCTGCTCAGATGTATGTATTAGCATCAATGCAGCACTCGTACTAAAATGAGTGTGTCGATTGGAGCCTGAGCGTGCTACGTCCAAGCCAAAAAAGGAGCACCTCATAGTCTGCATCAAACATCGTGAGATAAGCCTTAAATTATGGTTTAAAAGACTAAAGCTCATAGTTAATGAACTCAGTGGACCTTGTAAGGGTAGCTTCAGACTCGAAAGTCTCAGCCTCGAAAAGTCATTTGCCTTGCCAAATCTTGAAAAAGGCCATTAAGGAAAGTTTCAAAATTTACAAGTTCTTCTTTGTGTTTAAAGCTATCCTCGTAGTGTGAAAAGAATCTGCGTCAACTTCGACATACCTAAGAAAAGTTTTTCTGCCTCATATGAACTCTTCTGAGCTCGATTGTTAGATATAGGAGCTTTGCTCTTCTTCTTTATGTTTTAAGGGCGGAGGGTTTCCTTGTGCTCCCGAGAACGTAATAGCTAAGCTGATTCACAGAGCAAATAGAAATCGGCCGTACTTGAATAAACGCGGTTGTGTAACCATTTCTTCTAACGAGGGGCTCCTTAAAGAGAAAGAGACGGCGAGATAAGGACTCTTCTGCGGTACCAAATGGAAGAATCTATAAGCAACTGAGGGTTGGTTGGAGAATATCTGTCAGCAAGTGTTCCTAAAATCAATACAAAAAGTATGCCTCTCGAGTTCGTTCAGTTTCAGGCACGCAAATCGGAGCCAGCTTGAGATGAAAAGAGTGTATTCCATTCCACAACTTTTACAGACAACCCCTTGTATCGAAATTCGGCAACCTCTTAAGCCCAACTGCGAGGATACCTATCTGCCAACGTGCAGTCAGAGCTACGTGTGTGAGAATTTTGATCTTAAAACGGCATGAAGTCTCTCTGATCTTTCGCTATCCATTTTCGGCTAGAAGGTTTGAAAAACCAAGTTTGCATACTCTATCGGTCTAACCGCGGCTGTAGAAGGCGATTGACCTGCCCGTAAAGTCGACAGACGCTATGCTAGATATGCTTTTAAATTATAAGGCTAAAGTGGTTTGCAATGTTCCTTGGTGCTTAATGGATGACCTTTCCGTAATGTTTTTGGTTTCTTAGCTAAAAATTCTGTCCACAAATTCAAACAAACTTAACTCACAGCAAGCTAGAATGTTTACAACATAAAGAGTACAAGGACGAGGCAGTAAAGCTGATGGATCTTACTGCATTGAGACCTGTGCTTGACTTTGCAATACGCAGCCGCAGTAACGAAAATAATATATTTTTGTCACTCAGAAGCTTCGAATCCCATCTTAGCGGTTGTTCTTTTTTGACTTTTTTCATGTTCTTTCATCATGTTTTTGGACTATATAAGGCCCAGTCAAACCAAATAAGGCGATTTTGAGTGCGATTTTAAGTACTTCATGATAATTCAGCTATAACAGGTATTTTTCAAGGTGTCTTCTCGTGGTACAAAATCAGAAGAACTCGCTTCCCTCCTTCCTCAGCCTAGAGATAATAGCGATATAGTGCAGCCAAGCAATTGTTTACTTTCCTGATTCAGCTCCAGTGCCCGAAATGTTCCCAGCTTTCGTCAGTAAGTCACCACCTCCTCTCACTTTTCCGGTCTACACATGCAACTGGATTCATTCCTTCGCTCAAGATATCGTTTCCGTGAGGCACGTATTGCAACTGCCAATGCCTTTTATAAATGTATGAGACGTTTAATATATTTTCAATGTAAATATTTGCAATTCGCATTAAAAACACAACGATAGAGTATTACAAAAACAATGCACAACAGTACATACTCATACCTACATGTATATGTATATGGTTGCATCATTAATCATTAATCAATGATCAATCAATTCTACTCTACTCTCCGCCTCTCTTCAACTCGTTTATCAAATTAAACGTAAATGTGGGTGTAAATGTCAATTGCAAAGAATCAAAGAGTCAGAGTGGCAACATGAAAGAAAGCTACTCTGCAGCGGACATATAGAATTACAGTAAAATTGCAAAGCTGCAGTCAGTCGGCTTGGCCAATGATATTCCTGAGGATGAACGATTCGCAAAAGTTTTCGACGTCAACGAGCACATACACATCTATATACACAAACACATATATGCATATATACGTATACACATGGACAGGCCAATTAAGTTGTTTGGTGAAAGTTTTAATTATCATTTGACCAACTTGCCCATGACCAGGGAAAACAATATTAGAGAAGCTCATGCATAAATGCAGCTGGGAAGACCGAGTTGGTCTAACTATTGTCTTTTTTCTCTCTTTTTTTTTGTCGGTGTGAAAGAATTGCTAAGTGATGAAAAGGCGTATAAAAGCTGACTGATTGATGATTTTCCGCTTAAAGTGTAAAAAGCATTGAGTAACTCCAGTGAGAGCAAAGGACAAAGAGGCAGAAGAGAGTGTAAGTGTTTCTTTAGGCAGTCATTGAATTGGATTTGTGGAGTTAATAAACTCAATAGGGCAGGTATGGTAATAAATCAGTGAAGATTTTAAAATTTTGAAAAAATAGTTATTGTTCGTGCAAACACGAAATATTGGTCAAGTAAAAAGTAAACCATTCTTTTTGCAATAGAAAGTTTAAGAGATCTGAGTATCGCGTTCTAGAAATGTGATTGAACTTCGCTACACAGCGTTAGAAAGTTGATATTTTGTACTAAAAAAAGACGGTTGAAGAAGCGTCGCACTACGTAGTGCTTGAGCGCGTGTCAGAGATTTACACAGCAAAGAGGAAAATATGCGAGAGTCAACAATTCCACTTCGATTAAGGCGAAAACGCAATTCCAGTAGCTAAAAATGTCAATAGCATTTATAGTTCCGCTTAAACGGAAGTGAATGGGGAAAACCAAACGCGTTCGAGCAGGGAGCCAAAGCCATCTTAACAGAAGACTCAAAGTTCGAGGAAAAAGTGCGCTGTGGAATCCTCTCTTCGAAGCTATCAAAAGATATGAGCAAGAGGGTAAAATATCACTTCGGCGTTTTCCAGGCAGAACTCTTTGCATTCATGGATGCCGGCAAGTGGCTGCTTAAATCTACGGCAGCAGGACAATCATTTGGGATAACTTCCGACACATGAAAAATGTCTATTAAAGGTAGAATCGGTTTGAACAAATTCTCGATTAAATGCAACAACTCCTTAGGCTGGTTATTCGGACACAGTGACATCCCACTCAATTGCATGACAGACGAACTTGTGAGAGTAGGAACCCTTCTATCCACATTAAAACACGCGCAGGAGGCAGGTTTACCTTTGCCCATGGAAAAGTATAACTGACCTTTGTCAAGACCGGTAAAATAATGGGCTACCAATCTGATAATATTTGTCCCAGCTGTAGGGACGAAAGCCAGCCCTCGAAAATGTCTATAAAATAATGGAAATCGTTGAGTTTGACCGTCAAGCGAGCGTTGGCAAAATCTAAAAATCGTACAAAAATACATTTTGGAATCACTGGAAAAAGGCTGGATCCACAAAAACGCTCGATATAGGGCTGCCACTTGAGTTGACGAGAAAAAACTGAATTGACCGAATTATCATCTGCGAATCGCCTTTACTGTATCGAATGATGACTGGTGACACAAAGTGGATCACCTCCAGCAATGTCAAATAAAAACGGTCATGGTCGAATGACAGTGAGCCGGCACAAACGATCTTCAAACCAGAACCAGACGGCCGGAAATGTTTTCTTGTGTGTTTGGTGTGATTGACAAAGACACATGCAGTCTGAGCTGCTCCCCTATGACCAAAATCTTAGTTCGAATATATGCTGTCAATAATTGTATCGCCGGTATGAAGCAATCGCCTATAAGCGCCCAGTTTTGGACATAAGGAAGGGAAATGTATATCATCAAGACAAACTTAGACTACACACATCGATAGTGACTCGCTAGAAGCTTAGAGAGCCTAACTAGGAAGTCTTATGCATTCACCTCGCGCCAAGTGATTATCAGTTTCCAATTTTCCGGTACTGAAAGTCTTAATCGTCAAACATCATTTCATATACCATGAAGCCATTTTCGCTGACCTATAGTTTACTCTATGCCGCCTTTGAGCGGTTGACGGATGTTTATGAGAAGCCTTTTATTTCATGTTAAAAAGACACTCGAAGGGCTTGACCTTTTCAGCTAAGGGGCGGTCTACCAAAAGTTTATACCATACTCTTAGCAATTTCGACTATTAACCACTAATGGTTAATGAATAATGAATGGTGATTAAAGCCCACTGACTAACTGACAAATTTCTTCTTATCAATGACTAAAGATTAATGTCTAAGAATTACAGACTAATGGCTAGTGAATAATGATGACAAAATTATGACTAAAAACTAATAACTAATTATTATCGCCTACTGCATAACGAATAATAACTAATGACTACCGAGTAATGACTAACGACTACTGACTTATGGCAGGCGATAAATTACTAATTACTAAAGGAATATGACTAATGATTAATGACTACTGACTAATGACTAATGACTAATGACTAATGACTAATGACTAATGACTAATGACTAATGACTAATAACTAATGACTAATGATTAATGGCTAATAATTAATGACTAACGGCTACTGATTAATGACATGTGATTAATTACTAATTACTGAAGACAAATGACTAATGAATAAAAATTTTAATGTCGGTGATCAATCAATACATGTCTGCGAAATAAATGTTTTTGTAATATATAATTTCAGTAATTCTACTCCTCTCTATTTATTGAAGAAAACCCCGTGGTTTAGGAAGATTGATACAGCTTCGGCCGCCCACCATGCGCTACTTACCTTCAAGTTATCACAAACCTCTACTGCCCAATGGCCGCCATCCGCCCATCGACTGGCAACTCTACGGGTTCGTTTGCTCAAATTGTTGGCCACTCGCGAGAGACATTACGAAGACACGCCGTATAATCGACATGGTGATTACTGCAATGCAGTTCATGTCCGAAAGCATGGTGCTGTCGGGCGAGACCATAGCGATGCGTAACAATTTGGATGATATCAGTTTTGTCTGTATGGTATTGGCGCCATATCTGATACTCATTGAATTGATGCTGCGCGCGTATAATATTATCTACAAACGTAATAGTTTTCGTACGCACATTGAAGAGTTCTACAAGAAGATCTATGTGCAGCGGTAAGTGATTACACGTTTCCAGAAAAAATTATCTTTTCCTATTCGTTTTTGTCTTTATATCTTCACACCAGCACTTGGAATCCAGAGCTCTTCGAGCAGATACGTCGCCAACATTTGCCCACCAAATATTCCACATTCACCTACATTATCACGCTGGTGACCTATGTCTACGTGCCGATCAGTGGCTTGGTGAAGAATGAGCGCTTGGTACCATTTCCTATACAATTCAGTTTTGATTTCACCGTACCCTGGCCGCGGTATGTGGTCTTCCTTATTATGTCTATTTGGACTGGATTTGCTGTTGTCGGTCCACTCGTCTCCGAAGCCAATATGCTTGCTATGCAGATTTTACATTTGAACGGCCGATATTCTTTGTTATTGCGCGACTTGCGTAAAATTGCTCGCGAAGCTATTGAGGAGCATGAGAAGTGTAAGGGTAGAGATAAAATTTCCGTAACTCAACGTTTTCGCTACAGTCTCTTCGATATTATACGTCGCAATGTGGAGTTGAATGAATTTGCGAAGTCCCTGCAGGATCAATACTCTTTTCGGGTGTTCGTCATGATGGCACTCAGTGCAACGTTGCTATGTGTGTTGGGTTTTTTAACGGCGACGGTGAGTTGAATTCTTGTTGTATGTGCTCAGAAGACTGCTGATGTCTAGGAAAGATAGTTTGTAATTGAAAAACCTAGAAGAAAAGAGCGATAAGTAAAGAAAGAGAGAGATATGGAAAGCATGAGCGAATGAAAGACTACGGGAGAAAGAGAGGTAGGAAGAGCAGAAGGCGCTTAAGAGCGATGAGAATAGAGAGAAATAGAGTGCGAGAGTAAGAAGAGGAGAGAGGGAATAAGAAAGATAAAAATATAGGGAGGGAGAGAGTAGTTGAGAGAGGGCCTCTATACCATTTTCTTGTTTTCAATACTCAGAAAATTTCTTAACAGTTCGAAGAAAGGAAAGCAGTTTCACTATTATCTCTTTCAGATTTCTTTCATTTTGTTACCTCCTCCTCGAGGTGGTTCCATTGCTAGTTCACACCACTAACCTAAAACTTAATGAGCATGCCCTCTTAATAACAGGTAGCTACCAACAGAATATCCTCTCGTTTTGTCTCATCCAGGGCCACATTATCCCCATTTTTACTGAGGGAAAGGTGATCTTCAAACCAAAACCCAATATGAACAGTCACAAAGATCCAAAAGATAACCGGTTAATGCGCGATGCCTCTATATGTACGTTAAGAGATACCTTCAGATATTCTTTAGGTAACCATTAGGCCTCCTCTAAGGAAGATCCGTCGATACCTTTCCCAATATTATGAGTAGTATTGAGAAAGTTTTGTCGCGAAGAGTATACAACCGGCGTTTGCCTCGATATTGGGGTGGCTTTTTATAACGTCTTACCATAGATCGTCCCCTCATATCTTCTAGGGTGTCCCACACGTTGTTTCAAAAGTTGAGACGATCGAAACTAAATTCTAAATCATCTAGTCCAAAATACCTTCTAAATCTGCCACTGGCATAGAGGCTGTGGAATCTAAGTAAATAATACAAACACGAGAAGGAAGGAAGGTCAGAAGGTCTGCTTGATCTACTTTTACTTAAAGCATCGAAATTTGTCATTCTACTCTCCTGGAAAGCTAAGATTGGTGAAAGATGGAGACCATGGATATATAAAACTGTTATCAAATTCTTCCTACTCGATGGATTGACATTCAGGTGGCCGGGCCACGATGAAGTTACTTCTTTGGGCGACCTAGATCAAGTTCAGCGAACCATCTCCTTTTTAATTATAAGAGCGACTCCTTCAACTCTTACGAAATCCTTTGAAACTCCTCTTAATCCTTTCCTATTACACATATATGGCGAACTAATTGCCAGTTACAACGCCAAAAGGCCAGAAGCATCTCAACCCTGGAGAATTCAAAGTACAAAGGACTTATTGAATACTAAACTCAATACCATTTACTCGATACACCTTCTCTGTAGGCCATCGTGGCTTTTGGTTTTTAAAATAAATTTTACACAAAAATCCCAGAATAAAAGGTATTCGATGCAGCACCCGCCAGTGGAAGCAGCGGAAGGGAAAGACCTCCATTCTGTTGGAAAGATCAGGTGAAGAGCGACCTGGTTTCACTTGATATTTCCAGCTGGCACCGAACAGCCGTTGCTCACGACAATGATGAAGAAAATACAAGTTTTGGATCAAAGATACATATTCGTCTTTATAAAGAGGCCAAAATTGGATAGCAGGCTGCGCTCCGGAGTGTCACACGCCTTTCAACAACAGCGTTGAAGGACCAGTCAATCTAGGGATCTGTTAAACCGTTTAGCTGGTTTCCCCTCTAACAATGGTAAATTTTGCAAATTATTAGAACTGACCTAATATAGATATTGATCAGTAGGACCAGTAGTAGATGGTTGAAGAAAACCATATGCAATATAATCAGACCGATAAAGGCATTAATTGAGGAGAACGAAGACAGAACAAAGTCTCTATTACCGCACTGTGTGATGAGCGCTCATATTGGAAAGTTGGTTATATTTGTTTACGGATTTGAGTCGCAGTTGCAGGAGCTTAGATGAATAGATGAGAGGTCAGTAGAGTGCTAACTCCGCTCAGACCCTCTATCACGTCCTCAAAAATTTTTATTTCCATTTCCTTACAGACTTCCTGCGATAGCTTTTTTTTACAGTCCTGCTCTGCTCTTTCTTATTTCAGTAGTAAAGACGAGCTCATCGTACTTTTACGACCCGGGCTTTCAAAATTTCTCTATTATATTCCCAAGAAGATTTTGTTTTAATTTTCCTTTTGATTGTCCTTATGTTTAGCTCGGCTTGACAGCAGAGAATATTAGATTCGTCAGCTGGATAATCGGAAAAGTGGTAGAGTTGCTTATCTTCGGACGCCTGGGAACAACGCTATCGACAACGGTAAGTACAAACGATCGAGATATAATTAAGCGAGAAAGAGAGTGCGCTCTCTTAAATATTAGAGGGAAAGCACTCAAAATCTGCTTTATACTCTCTCTATGTGTCTTTAATTTTTCGCTTTTCTCTCCACATTCGAGTAGACAAATGATTTGAGCACCTCGTATTACTGTTGCGATTGGGAAGAGATAATTTTTCACTCCGCTGATGCTGAAGAGAATAGAAAGACAATGAAATTGATAGCCTTGGCTATACATTTGAATAGTAACCCGTTTCAGCTGACGGGCTTGAACTTTTTCGTTGTCAATTATGAGACCGTGGTGTCGGTGAGTTAAATATCTCTCTAATTTTGGGTGCCATTTTTTCCATTTTCAAATTTTAATTCCTTTATAATTGCAGATATTGAGAGGTGCTGGTTCTTACTTTACTGTTATTTATGCCTACCGATAAGAAGTTGGGGAAGAAAATTCTTCAAGGTGACAGAATGAAATTAATTTGAGGTTATGCGATATTTGTACATATGTTAATGATATTTCCGAAGAAGGTTTAAGAAGATGATGGAAGCTTATGAATAAATTTATGGACAACTAAAGTGATATTGAAGGCAAAAGAAGAGAAAGTAAAGAAGTGGGTATATTTCTGGTCTCTCTCACGGGACAACGGTAAGCAGGTAAGACGGATTATGTAGTTTTCGGGGCTGACAGCTCTAAGATGAACTAAGGTTCATTATCTAAAAGACACGATTGGAAGAGTAGCGGCACAGACGTCTTATAGAGTGGATCTAGTAATACTATAAACTTTGTATTGTCTATATGAGACTACCCAATAAATCGACCAAATCAACTCAATTCTACTTTAGACATCTCTTTCCCTTCATTTCTTCTACTTCTTGTAGTTCTCGTTAGATGTCTTTGCTATGCTTTGGATTGCTATAGACCATTGAATACTTCCTTTAAAGGATTTCCTCATGTTGTGCTATATTGTTACCTATCCCTTTTATCGATTCAATATTGTTGTTGTTGTTATTACCGGAAAAATATTCCTCACAAAATTTTGGGAAATGTTGCAGGAGTGACACTCCTTGGGCGGATAAAAAATCCGGGTCGTTCTGTTATAAAGACCTGACTGCAGCGGGAGCTATTGGCTTTTAGACGCCCCTTAGGACAGGCATGCCTTACCGCGGGTAAATTCTTGAACCCCTGACCCGCAGTGGGGTTATCCATTCAATCTTCAATACTGATGGTTGAGTTCAGGATATAACTATGTTCGGCCGCTCTTAAGCCATTGAGCAGGCCCATTGTACTTCCCAGCTAAACACAAGTATTTGTTATGTGAGCAGCAGAGGATTTGGTCTCTAATTCCTTAAGCTGGAGCTTCGAGTATTGTGGAAGATGTGTCACTGCAGTCGACCAAAGGCTGGACACTATCAAAAGCAGAACTTTTCGATTTCTTCTATGTATGCTCTGCTCGCAGCTGATTCAATCGTATCTTGTCATTGAACCTTAGGACTCTACTTTTTGGCAACAAGATTGAATTACAAACCTAACAAAATAAGCGGAGCTCGATACCATGGATATCCTCTGGATTGTACACGCAGAAGTGAAAATACATCCTTCAGCTGCGAGAGGTGCTCCAAAACTGCTTCTAAGTGTGTAACTCCCTTCCAAACAAACCGGATAGACATTACCCTAAGTCTGGTAAATGGATGGTAAATGCTCTCTACCGTAGTGCCATCAGCTCTTGGCAACCGGAACCAACCAAACTATGAGCGAGGCTAACACCAAAATGCTCGAAAAGCCTACACAGATAGGAAAACATCTACGGCCCCACTTGTTGAAACGGTTTAATCAAGAAAAATGTAAAAAACTCACTCCTTCCTCAAAAAGTAAGGGTAAGGACAAGCGATGGACAAATATCTTCAGAAATAAGATGTACCGAAGTGAAGCGTCTCTTTAATTATGATACAGTCGACACTGAAAGACCTGAAGGAAGCATGTCATCTGAGCAGTAGGCCTTACTGGAGGACGAGTTCAGTGACGGTGTAATGGACCTTGCCTTGAGGTTATTCTCAGACATACCTTTTTTTCAGATACAAACTGCTCTCTTTGAAAGAGGCTTGCTCTCCATTCAAACTTCACTGATCGGCAAGATTTATGTGGCATACATCTGGCAGGAGGTTTCAGTCTTTCGGTTGTATTCTGCTACTTTTTTTACAGACTCTCTTTGCGGCGGAACGACTACCTCAGAAAAAATTGGTGTTTCAGATGTTGAGGTAGCCGGGACTTTGAATCAGAAGAATAGCACTTCTTCTCTGCTTTGCCTAACTAAGGCCGTTTTAATATCTCAATTTTCCTAGGCTTGAGAAGATACTCACATTCAGATGCGAAATAGTTTCGGCTTGACGCCCATGACGTTATCATAGTTCCAACGCCAGTTCGTCCTTTCTTTCCAGCATCGCAGTATCTCACTGTTTGCTTCAAGGAATATACATTTTGGACTGCAGTCTCAAAACAACATAGAATTTTTAGCCAACCAAAGCCTTTGGAGATCTCTTGTAGGACCTGGAGCTGTTATGTGCCCGAAGTTGAATTAGCTTAAACTCTAATATAACTTTGGATGTAGTCATTACTGTGAAGGAGACCCCTATAAACATGTTATTGTAGCTCGAGCTGAGCTTTCCCTTCGCGCTCCTTCCATTTTTCTTTTAATAAAAAAAAAAGATTTGCTTAATCCCCAATCCCACAATCTACTCAAACTATACTAACTCAAATAACTCGCTCACGTACAGCAAACAAATAAAAACAATTATGACAGTCTGGCAGGCACTTTTGTGGCCAACAACATCATCAGCATCAACAATAAATGTGGCAGCCAAGAAAACTTTTCTCACTTGCGGAAAGAGGAAATTGGCAAAGCAATTCTGTTAATGTACAGAATGGTTGTTGTTTTGTTATTGTTGTTGTTGTTGCTGTTGTTGTTGCAAAACCGATTATTGTAGCGAGAGTTAATAACATCAATATTATGTGCTGCATCGATTGAAAGACTACAATACACACACACACACAACCACACACATGCATACATACACATATATACTAAAAATACATATCAGAAACATGAGTCAATATTTTTCATGATTCGTATGGGTGCTTGTATGGCTACCCCCTAGACTTGAAGCCACAAAAACACGCAGTTGTGAAAACATGCACGCGTGCAAAAGTCTTTATTGAGTGCTGCACACGCACATATTTATCTATGTGTACGTACATCTCGTGCGATGTTGGTAGCCCATATTGGTTGGCTGGATGGTTGGATGGTTGATTGGTGGCAGGTGTGCTGTTGTCGTGCGTGCGGCACATGTCCTTACTGGCAAACCATAGACGCAGCATAGACTGAGACACACACACACACACACACGCACCCACGCACATTCATAGTGGCAAGAATTTCGGTTTGATTAGAACATAATTGATATGTGCAAAGCTTCGTGCAGTTGGATTTGGCTACGTATGAAGGTTTTCCAAGAAATTTTTGTATTCGGTTTCAGGGTGAAAAGTGGGTCAACGAGCAACTTTCTAACGCTCTTTAAAGAGTTATTGGCTGGAGTGAAGTAGCTGAACGAGACTAAATATAAAGTCTAGTTGGAAATTTTCAGTGACCAGCTCTCCAGATTAATGCAAGTTATGGGATCAAGCGGAAATAGCTGTGACTATGAAAGTAATCTACCTACTGAAGTGATATTCCATGGCTTAAGAAGGTGAGAGCATGTTTCTTAACAAATCGAGTTATTACGTCTTGTGCCGAGTGAGTGTGATGACCTGACCTGACTTGACCTGACCTGACCTGACCTGACCTGACCTGACCTGACCTGACCTGACCTGACCTGACCTGACCTGACCTGACCTGACCTGACCTGACCTGACCTGAAGATTAAAGAATAGCTACTCTCTTTAAGGTGGGATTTTTACCAACTCCAGCCTAACTTTGTACAAAAGAAAAGCACTTAGAAGTAAGGCCATTGTTGGAATTTTGAGATTACTTTGGTCTGACTCGCATGGTAGTGCAGAAGATCATCGAGTTTCCAAAGTCTGTTTGACTTTCATGCAAATATAAGGTCCCCACTAATCTACTCTTGCTCTCATGTTTTGCTGCTATTTATTTTTCGTATTTTTTGTGGTGGACACTTACCGAGTCTAAGTTTGTACGATTTAAGAACAGCCAGTAGTACCGCTTTTTAGCTGTAAAGGCATGGATTTCTTTCCAACGGAGGTCAGGTTTTCTTCTTCTACTGTTTTCACCGATGGACACTACATTGCCTACATTCAAAGCTGGAGACCTCTCATCCATACAGATAACGTATCTAAGCCTAGTAGCCACTACATCTTGACTCGCTGAATTATGTCTCATCAGCTCATCGCTCCTTCGTCTGCAGTATTCGCCTTTTCCCATCAGGCAAAGCCCCATAAACCTTCTGCAAAACCTTTCAGTCGATAACTCTCTGAGCCTACTAATAAGATGAAGTCTTCAACCAAGATTCTGTACCATATAGCAGGGCGGGTATGTTGAGGGACTTGCAGAGTTTGGTCCTACTCAGTCCGAAGTGGCAAGTGTTGGCAAGAGTGTTTCTGCGTTTTACATCAAGATTGACATTGTTGTTGGTGTTAACGCAGGTGCCTAATTAGAGGAAATAGTTTAAGACTTCTTTGATGACAGGAGTTGTTTCCTCTGTAGTCTAGAGAAAGGAGTATTGACCAGATTGCTGAATGCAATGACAGCTCATAATATTTCCTAAGTATTCATTAAAAAAAACCATACAACTTTATTTGATATAGATCACATTGGTATGGTAAAGGTTATATTCTTTTATTTTTTTTTTATGAGTATGTGCCGATATTGAAGTCCTCTGTGAGTTGCCATAATCTCTAGTAGAATTTTCGGCAATTATTCTTTCGGCCAGCTTCTCAGATTCTCTGTACCTATGATATTCTCAAAGCGAGAAGACGAAGAAGAGCATTTAAATTTACCGAGAAATATGCGGGAGCTATTTCAGTAAGCAACTTCATAAACAGTTTGAGAATTACACACTAAATTGGCTAACAAGGGAAAAACAAAAAAACGGCTGAGCTCAACATATGAATAAGCGGGATGAAAATATAGAAGATGAGGTCAAGGTGGAAGAAGTAAGCATGAGAGCATAACCTGCATCAAAATCTTAACACGCTCTTTTCTCACCACAGTTACCACTTTGCCGCTCAAGCAGAAGTTGGTTAGTGAGTAACTAAGCCAGGGAGTGAGTAAATTATGCTGCCTGAACGATTGACTCAGCGCAAAAGACAAAAAAAAAAACAAATATTTTCTATGAACCCCAGAAAAGTGTTGTTGTGCTTATATACTTTACGAGTAAAATTTATTTTGGACTCTCCCTCTTCCACGCGCCACACATGCATAGC